GAAGTAATTTTTTTTTGAACCTGAAAACATCTCCTGAAATTGGTTGCTAATAATGGCCTCGAACGATATACGGTCAGTGGTCCCAGTTGGCCAGCTCCACAAGATGGTGAAAGTGAGCCTGTTTTCTTCAGCCTCTTATTTCCAGCCAAACTTTTCGCTTGCTTGAAGAAAATACACCAGTTTCCTCCTCTGGTGAGATCCTCTTTTCATATTATCGAATACCTCCTACCATCTTCCAAACCTTTCTACCACCTTTCTCCCCTCCAATAAAAACGAACAAAACAAAAAAAAAAAAACAGGGCATCACTGGGAAATTTCAGTGCCAGATACGACTTTCCTCCCTTCTCCCCCCCCCCCTCCCACCAACCATATGGCGTTCTTCCGTGGAATTCTCCCAACAATGCATCGAACAGAGCGCGCAAGGCGTGAAGGACAACTACCGCAAAGAGTTTTCTCATAAAAATACCACCTCCCTCTTCCCAAAAAGTCAAATGGGACCCCTCGTTGTATTTTGAACGGTGGGACAAGTTGAACTCGATCCCTTGAATAGCGTCACATTTCTCTTTTTCTCTGCGCTCTCACGTCTGCATGGCGTTTTATGACCAGTGTGACCATTCACTTCCCAACTTTTCACGCATAATGAGTAGCTCATCCACCATAGTGTCCCCTGCCCATCGAAAAGCTCATTCCCTGGCTTGCGACGGGTTTTTTGCGATGCCTTGGCAGCTGCAGTCGTCTGGTTTTTTGCGCTGTGGCTTTTCGCGTCAGGAGCCCACCGAAAGTTTCAGTTGTTGCCTCGCCCTAACCGTTTTGTACGACGATGGTGTACCCTGGCTGGGATATTGCACCTTGTCTCCATCCTGTGGGACAAAGATTCCCTTGATGGACTGTAGCAGCGAAAGTTTTCATTCGAGTGCCATTTTTGGGGACGAGACGGCGTTATCAGTTGCTTATCACGGACCTATTGCGAAATCATCTCGCTTCCTTTACATAATACGATTTATGAGCGGTGTACGATCATCAGCTGATGTATGGAGAAACGATGCCTGGGCGTCATATCAGTTGTCCTGAATAGCTTTTTAGTGGCATTTAAGATAGCCAGAGAGTGCGTTCTAGCGCGTGCTTTTTGCATTCAGATTACTGATGAAATCGCGTCATTCTTGATGATCATGTGACCGGATCTTACATCACTTTAGTCCCTTCCAATGTGATTTTCGTTGATAAAGAGTACAAAGGAGGGGTATGACAGTATTCTAAAACTTTATGTCATAACCTGATTGGAACCTTCCACGAATTGTGGAGCTATGAAGTGATTGAGGGTTGAGATAATCGTAGGTCTTTACATCAGGAAATACGTTGCAAGGACAAAACCAAAACTTTTGCTGTTGGCTTTGGCCTCGGTTGCTCGTATTTTCGTCGGTAGAGGGAGGGAGGAGGTCTAATTTGCCTTTGGGAGAATTTCCTGAGTTCATGAGAAAAAGTTCAGTTTGCTGACTTACGCGGTCTTCCGCGTTTCGTATGTGCTATACCACACGCCCTCCTCCCCGCTCGACGGCGAAATTCTGGGACTAGCTGGGAAATCTTAGAAAAGTGCTTGGTTGTTGGAGGAAGTTTGCAAGATGGTAAGTATCACACTAGAGAAAGATGGGGGAGGGGGGAGACACTCGGAGCTTCGAAAAATTTTCTCTTGCAGTAGGAAGTGCCCTGATTTTTCCCAAATTCCTTGGCCTCATACTATATCCCTCCCCTTCCGATAGCCTTGCATACTTCTAATGCACTTATTGAATTCGATGGGCGTAAGTGGTGTAGTGGCAAGTGGCATGCTCAAAACGCGTGTGTTCGGTTGCGGCTCCTGCACAGGCTAATCATTCTAACCTCCGGGAATGATGCTGGTACGCACTAGACTAGTCAGTAGTTAAGAATCGCTGAATTGTACATCGGCTGCAACCCCCCCCCCCACCCCGTAAGTATCTGTAAAGGTCACATCACATTTAATAAGCCCCTACGATTCTAAATGGCTGTAGAATGCGTGCCGCATCCCAAGAAAAGGTTGAGCAAGACGAGAAATTTATTCTTTCATACCCTTTCCATCTTCGAGCAGTGATTACATTATTTCGCTTTCGTTTGCAAATACATTGAAAGGGCTGTGGTATCCTGCTACATAGAGCATCATAGTACGGTTGGGGATCTAGCTGATGGGGTCGTACTTGGTCGGCGTATTTGGATCGCTGTAGGGAAGGATTGTAGCCTGCTTTCTGAGATAAATGTTTTTGCTTGTTATATTTCGTCGGTTTTCCCCGTTTCACATGCGCTATACCCCTGGTCAGCAACACAGAACTGGCGAAAAAAAAAATCAAAGTGGTAAAGTAGAATTGGCAAGTGAGGGAAAATATACGGAGATGAGTAAGGTAGGCATGGGTTGGGAACAGCGAGTTAACCATGTAGTGATAGAAGAATAAATTTGGAAAGGGTCATATTATGCGAAATTTCCCTTCAACAGCAGAGCGTTCTCTGTTCTCTGAGCGCCTACTTGCGGTGTATTTTTGTGCAACTTCTGGGGAGGTGGTCCTTCTTTCGCGATGAATTGTGGGGTTCAAATGATTTTTTTGTGGAGTTTGCTGAGCGGTGTAATTGCTTACGTCAATATTTACTCGTAAAGCGTTCTTTGGCATTCGGCGTATGACAGATTGCAGTATATTGTGGCTGGGTCTTAAGCCGGCAGAATAAAGGTTCGTAAGCAATCGACGACGAACTTGTTTCGAACCGCGATCAACTGGTAATTAGTAAACAAAAACAAGACCTGTTTTGTGGCCTGAACGGTTTTTTTCTCGATTTAAAATAGGATACGGTAGTTTGATAAAGGAAAACGTGGAAAAATTTAAAAAAGAATCATTCGGCTGGAGTAGGCGTAGGGTTTTGCGGTAGCTTTCATAGAAGTGGGTGATACTTTCCGGAAGTTGTAAAAAAGACGAAGTCCACGTTGTTGACCAAAGCCCTTGTGTGGATGCGCCATGCATTCCCTTTCCGATCGTAGCGCTCATTGATTGTAGTGATGCCTATGCAATGACTTGCGAGGCTAGCCGATGTACAATTCATGTTCTTATCCTCAACCGATTTGGCACCAGTTTACCATCCCCGGAGAGTTAAAACTCTATTGGCCTGGGCGGGAGCCTATCCGGGGTTTGATCTCCGGACCACGCGCGTGGTGAGCTGGTCTCTTGCCGCCACATCGTCTCCGCTTCACGTGTTTCAGATGCGATTAATTTTTGTTTCTTTTAGTTCGAGCGCGAGCAGGATGTGTTCGGTCTTGGTGATCTCTTCCAGCAGGTGAAGAACAAAAGAGGAGGTGATAAGGACAATGATCGTGACGATTCAAAACGGTCAAGGCATTGAGATTTGGTAAAAATTCCTGATGGCTTTCAGTTGACATTAGCATTAGAAGAGTCTGGTGCGGAGCACTCTTTATATCCTTCAAGGCGATATAACTTCCTTGGCCCTAGTCTGGGCTTCTTAGACGGGAATATTGTCTTAGACAAGACAAGGAAAAGCATAAGTCAGCCAGCGCCCAGACTTCGCGCCGAAGCGCTGTAACGCGCGCCATCGCGCTCCAATCGCCACAGCGCTTCAATCCTGCAGACACGAGCGCAACCCCAGACGAGGATCGATTAGCCGATTAGGGCCGGTCGCTTGTGTTCTGAGAGAGTATAGGATATCAGGTGGGCAGACCCTGCCTTCCCACAGTCCTTTACTCTCCCAGTTTCTTATATTCTCTCAGGGCTCTTGTGACCAGTGTCGATCGATACCAAACTGAGTGATTAGGTAGATCCTCTCGTTCTCCAATACTCTATACACAAGCGGCCTGCGCCGATCAGTTCCCGTCTGCGGCTGCGGTCGCGTCTATAGCCTTGAAGCGCTATCGCAATTATTGCGTGTCGACGCGCGTCATCGCGAAGTCTGAACGCTGCCTCGCAGTTATCTTGTCTGAAAGGCTTAGAAGTAGCTCCGTATCAGGGACTTTTCATTAGTTCATTGCTTGTCTTCCTCGTTTCACTGAATTCAATTTATTGTTCATCAGTGATGGGTAGTTTTGTGGTTAAGTTGTTGCGGTTGTTTGTTCATATTTTGAGAAATCTGTCTAATTTCAAATGTTAAACCTCGTTCCGGCTCAGCGGTGGGAAGATTGGAGCGCTGGACATTTATCCCTTGTCGCTAGCCATTAAAGGTACAATCCGCGCTGAGCAAGTGGGCGGAGACATCCAGTTGTTGCTTTCGTCATTGGCGCGCCTCACCTCCTGATACGGCAAAGCGTAGGATTGCGCCAGTGAGGAAGGCGGGATAACTGGGTGTGTCCGCTCCTATGTTGGTGTGTGGAATGTGCCTTTAAGTCCGCTGCGGGTGAATCGGAATGAGTCCTATTTTTCTTGGATGAGACGTCAGTGATCAAGTAGAAAGTGCAAAGCTGCTTGCTCACTGCATAGCAGCCCCTATCCCTCCACATTGCTCTGGGTTTTTTTCCTCGTCACAGATTTCTCCTGCACTTGCTGTCAAGTTGTATTTATGTCAAAGATATCTCGTTAACGGATGTTTAGATGTTTTGGAGCAGATTTAGTAGAGGTACGGAGTTCGGTACATACCTGGCAAAAGATGGATGACGTGTCAGTGACGTCACTTAACATGTTAGCGACGTGACTGATGGCGATATGGTACCTGTTTACTCGTCATTAACGTCTTATATGACACCCTATCCTTTAGCGGTGTTAGATAGCGCGTCATGCGGACCTGTGCTACATCTGCGCCAAATCTGATTGAAGTTTGTTTTGTTCGATGTCGATTGAAAACCTCACAAACGAATTATATGTGGATGTTTATTAATAAATAATGCTGCAGTGTACATGGTTTTGACAGGCAAAGTAGTGGAGATATCATGGAGTACCAGCGTAAAATCGATTTCACGGAGAGATATAATCGATATGTACATTATTAGTTGAGCCAATACCCTTTCAGGGCATCAGTTTTGATTGAATCATCGAGTTGAGCAGCACCGCTTTATGTTGATGTTCTCGCCGTTCGCTCTCCAGCGCCGCTTCCAGCTTTTCTACAGTACGTCGCATTTCGTCGAGTTTTGCCCGCAGTACTTTCACCTCGTCCACTTTATGTCGCATTTGGGCTCTAAAAAATCGAATGAGTGGTTTTGAGAGTTGTAGCCGTGAGAATCGGGCGCGATTCGGCTTGGTGGGGGCATCGTATATGGACAGAGGAAAGCTTGTGCAGGCCTGTAAATTCCTGTGGTGAAAGTAGCTCGCACACACAATTTGGCAGCTTCACAGAAGTTTACAGGTCTGACCAAAGTGAAACCTGTTAGATAGCGAAAGGAATTGAACGTGCAAAATGCCCCTTCCTAGCCGAACAGCTCTTGAGAATTGTCTAGGAGTCAGCTAATTTACCTGTACTGCCTGGCGTAGAGACGACGGTGTCGTCGTTTCTGACTGTTTGGATCGTCATCGTCAGTGATGTCCTGCTGAGGTCGTCCTCGACGGATTCTCGAGGTCGTACTGTAGTTTTCGGGTGAGGAAACTCGCTGAAATTGATGTTTCTTTGAATTCAGGACACTAGTGAAACGAATGGAAACTGTTGCCCTTGAGCTGTCTTTAGGGGCAAAATTGGAGGGCAGAATGGAGGGGGAAGGGAGGAGGTGGGAGTAACTCTACTGCCCTGCGTCCGCTTTTATTCCTAGAGCTCAACGAGTTAATCGCCTCACTTTTTGAGTATGGTTCGGTGAGCGGGGGCGGGGGGGGGGGGGAAATCGGTCATGTAGCACGCCACCTAGTTCCGTCTCAATTAGTCCCTTCCAAGATTGCTGTTCACATTAGCATCGCGGGGTCTCCCACTCCCTCATGCAGGCTGAAAATCCCCTCGTAGCGATTGATAAGCCATAAGCCTTTAGGCTCCAGTGAGCCTACTAGTACTGCTGCGTTTATACTTTGCGACGTAGACCGCCTAGTCCCGAGCGATTGATCGACCACATTTTACCACCAGTCGTTGGAACACAAACCTGTGAATTGATCACCGTCAGGGTAATTCCAGGCTTCGCAGAGGTCTAACGATTAAAGGTGGAGGCAGTCAGTCGCAGTCGCGCGAGTGAATCGCTTGAGCCGCAAGTATAAACGCGGCCAGCTTCTCAATCAATCAGAGGTGGTTT